AATTAGAGCTTCTTAGAGTTATAATCCAAAAAGGACCTTGCTTTCACTTAGAAGCCGAGAAAGTGATGGAAGAAGAATCTCGGAATACTTCGATAGAGATTGTAAACCTTCCTCTGAACCAGTTAATCCACTAACAATTTCCACCGCAGCTTTCTTCACCTACACATATAATCAGAATTCCTCGTTTACAAATAAAAAACCCTAGAATCTAGAAAGCTCAGAAACAGATGAAAACCAATGTAAAAAGCTTTACAGGTGGAGAAGGAGACGACAGAAACTCGACAAGCTCTTCTAGCTCCGTCGCCATATCTCTAATGTCCGAAGAAGAATTTGGCCGTAGAGAGAGAGAGAGAGTATCAACGTTTGCTCCACCACAATCTCTTCTTCGCCGGCGAACTGTGCAAAATCCTCAGGTTTTTTGTTCACACGACAAACCAAACACTCTCTAAGTAAAGCAGAGGGTCTTAAAAATACCCTTTTTAAAATTAAAAAAACGATTTAAAGAAAAAAAGTCTTCACATTTCGGGACGAACAAAAAAAGATGGAAGCTTGTCTGAGATGTTCACGAGGAAGTAATCTGATTGAAGCGTTGAGACCAATCGGAAGATTCGCCGGTTCTCTCCGCTCTTGTTCTGTCTCTTCTAGCACCGGTTAATTTCTGAATTCTCCTCTGTTTCAATGATTAAAAATGGTGAAAAAGGAGAAATTGGGTTCTGTGAGATGCATTTGATTCAAGTGAATCTGAAAAATCAAAATGTGAATTTGATGAACAATTCTGCCAATTACTGATTTTTTTTTGCTTCCATTATTTGGTATCTGTGAAGGCAAGAAGCCGATTAAGAGAGCTTATGATGGTTTGTTGCTTGATGCTGGAGGAACCCTTTTGCAATTGTCGAAACCTGTTCATGAAACTTACGCTTCCTTGGGCCAAAAATATGGTCACTTTCTTACACTTCTTGGATACAAAACCAATTTCGAATTACGTTTCTTGATGCTTTTTCCGGATGATCTCAAGTTGTTTGTTTTGGCCTAGTTCAGRTCTCAAGACAACTCCAGCTGAGATCAAGCAAGGTTTCAAGAGAGCTTTTGCTGCTCCTTGGCCTGAGAAGTTGCGTTACCAGGTCCGCGAAATGAGTTTTTTTTTCCGTTATTTTCGGTTTGTATCTTTCATCGTTTCCTGCGAAGTTGTGTGTTACTAAAACATCTTGCATTGTATCTTCAGGGAGATGGAAGACCGTTTTGGAAGCTCGTTGTTTCAGAGGCTACTGGTTGTTCTGATAATGACTACTTTGAAGAAGTCTACCAAGTGAGAATATAGAGGCTGGATTTTGGTCTTTTTAAGTAGTCTTTATCTTGCATTAACAATCCATCACATTGATGCCTAAATGACGGGTAAATCTTTATGTTGTTTCCTTAGTATTACGCGAATAGTGAGGCGTGGCATCTCCCAGAAGGAGCTTATAAGACAATGTCAACACTAAAAGATGCTGGAGGTTATTATTACATCGAAGAACTCTCTCCTTGTTTACTTAGATTACTTCTTTGTATTCGTTATTCCTGATATCTGAAATTGGGGTTAGAGGATTGCAGTAAAGATGGCTGTTGTGTCTAATTTCGATACCCGGCTAAGAAAGCTATTGAAGGATCTTAATGTCATCGATATGTAAGTTTGTCATCTTCCGTTATTAAATCTGAAAATGCCATAGTAGACACCATAAATGTTCATTGTTTATGATATTTGCCTTTTGCAGGTTCGACGCTGTGATTATATCTGCAGAAGTTGGATATGAAAAGCCTGATGAACGAATCTTCAAATCCGCTTTAGGTTTTGCATCTTAACCTGAAGTTTTGTTGTTTTCTTCAAATTATTACAAAAGGTTTCGGATTTATAGATTCAACAGCTTGTTTATATACTCCATGTCACACGCAGAGCAAATTAGCGTAGAAGCAAACAGAGCAGTGCATGTTGGAGATGATGAAGGAGCAGATAAAGGCGGAGCAAACGCCATCGGTATTCCTTGTTGGTGCGTCACAAATACGTTTAAATTTCTTGTGCTTCTTTTTTTTGGAGTTTGTCGAACCAAATCCTACATGACACATACTGTTTTTTTTTTGTATGTTTTCTTTGGAAAAATAGGTTATGGGGAAAAGATGTGCAGACATTTTCAGACATACAAGATCGGATCTTGGTTTAAGAACACTAAGCTTGAAAGATTTTGCTCTGCAACGTTTGTAATATATCTCGGGGCCATCTATACATTTACTCAATTAACAATGTAATCTTTCTATCAGTTAATCTTTCTCTGGGTCATGTATACATTTACTCAACGTACAATGTAAGCCAAAATTAGTTAAGTAACAAGTTAAATACCCAAATTAGTTTAAGAGACTTCGCTATTTTTCTAATTTTGGGTAAGTAACTAGTTAGATATTCAAAAATAGATATGAGATTTTTTGGTGAAAACCATTTCTGGACTTTTTTTCATTTAAATTTATAATGTTAGAAATATGATATTTTGTGATAATTTTTTAGAAATGCCACATTATAAAAAGGAAAAATTATGAAGAATACCATATTGGCTTCAAATTTTTTTCCAAAATGTTATAACTTGAAACTCCTTTAAAAAAATGCCACAAATCCACTGTTCATGTGTGAAAAAAGACATTTTTACCCTTAGTTATAACTTGTGATGTAGTCAGTTTTTGGTCCACACCATTAAGTTTTTGTCCACTACCACCTAGTCTTTCGTCCACCGCCATCGACAACCGTCTGTGTTTCTGTTCACCGGCCACTGCTGTCTCGGTCGTTGTCCACCAGTGTTTCCGTCCTCGTTTATGTCCACCATCCAACCACCATTGTCTCCGTCTTTTTCCACCACTATCTCCGTTAACTACCACCATCTCTGTATCCGTTTCTGTCTATCGTCTCTGTCTCCGTTTGTTTCCACCGTTTTCGTTTTTAGAGAGAGAAGGAAAAAGAAGAAGAGAGTGTGAAACTTTTATTTAGGGTATTTTTATCTTTTCAAATTGGTATTGCGGCATTTTGGAAAAATTTAGAAACTTATGACATTTTAGAAAAAAAAATTGAAATTTATGGCATTTTTCATAATTTTTTTTTACAAAAATGTCGTAGTTTCAAAAAAATTGCAACCACTTTTCCAAAATTATTTATTCAATATATCATTTATGTTTGGGTTAACAATGTTGTATTAAAATTTAGTTTTGAAGGTTTAGGATTTGTTAGGGTCAAAATATTTTTTTAGAATTTAGAGTTTTAAGATCGAGGGTTTAAAAATCATTAATTAGTGGTATTGCATAAAACTCGACGAACTGGAGAAAGCAGAGAAAGTGAAAGACATTCTTGATGCGGTTGAATTTAATCAGGCACCAATATTTGTGAAGAGCTTGAGCAGAGCTGAAGAATTGAACAATGTCCTTGTAGGAGGCAATTTCCCATACCCTTCGACATGCTTTCATTCTGAGCTCTCACTGAGAGAGAGCTGATAAGATTGCGCTTATCGA